CAGCAAGGGCCCTGCAAAGACTCCCAGACTGCCCTCTCCGCCCGCCCACTGACTGTCTCTTCAGCCTTTCCAGCTCTTTCTCCCCCTCCCACTTCCCCACCTTCGTTTTCTTTTTCTTCTTTTCCAAATAGCACTGCTCCAAAGCAACCCCCGCACACGTCCTGGGGATGGTTCTGCGGGCTGCCCTGAGCCATGGGAGTAAGCCTGCTATTGCTTCCTATTAGCAACTCCGTTTGCAAGATAAACAATGTGAACCTGAGCGCCAGCTCCTGTGGGCTGGTGCAGATTTCCGTCTGTAGCTGGTCAGCTTCCATCCCACTAGGGGCGTGTTGACTGTTAATAGGCATTTCTCCCCAGGTGCCCTTTTTCGTTCTTTCCAGAGCACTAGTCCTGGTGGGACCTTCCACTGGCATCTTACAGAGACTCTTACTCTTCTCTTTGTTTACCTTACAAATTAGTTCCTGGATTTAACAGCTCTGGTTGCTGAGCAGACTTATAAAATTGGGGCAAAGGGGGAGGGGAGTGAACTGGGGTGCCCATTATGGGCCTCTGGTGGCTGGGGCCTCCGGGAGCGTGGGGTTTGGGAGGAATTAACTCTCATTGGTTTCTTGGAGACTTGGGGGATAGGGGTGGGCCTTCTCTTCCCCTGGAAGGAATAATATCTGTTGTTATTGCATGTTTAAGAAGTTTATAGAGATTGTAGCACCGGGATACAATAGAGAATGAGGTTCTCAACGGGATGTGGGGGAGGCTTTTTCAGCTGCAGGAAGGCTTGGAGTCAGAGTCAGGTATGGGGCCCGAGCACGACTGCTGGACAGGCTTGGTAATGCCACAGGGAATAAACGAAAAACCCAGGGAGCCCTGGTGCTAGGACTGTGGGCCAAGAGCATACTGGGGGGTGGACAGGGACAAAGCTGAGACCCACAGTTCAAGGAGGACTGGGATGGGATGGGGTGAGCAAGGAGGTCACAGGGTCTGGGAAAACATTGGCTGGAGCTGGTAACCCGAGTGACTCATCTTTGGGTGTAGGATATGTTAGTCATCTCCGCAGTGAGCTGGGACCAAGAGGTGTCCTTCAGGCTAGAAACCGTGGCTGAGTGGGAGCCCCCACAGGGGCTGGAGCTGCACAAGGAGAAGATGGGAGTGGGCAGTGGGGTAAGCAGCAAGAAAAACAACTATTATTAAAAGAAATTGGGGATCAGAGAAATTATACCAAATGGTGCCATTAAGTCTTCTGATTCAGGCGGAAGCCTTTTCAGTTAGTGGGAGATGCTTTGTAATAAAAACCAGGCCAGGAAATGGACAAATGGGCCTTTAGCATAATAAGGCCAGGATAATTACTTCCCAAAGAGTAGGGTCAAAGCTGTGCTAATGGAAAGAATACGTGTTCCTTACATATCCTAGATTGTGGTCTTTGGAAGAAAATTAATTGTTGCTGTAGCAAAGGGTGTTTGTTTGTAGGTTGAAAAACAGAGAAACACATTTGCTGGTGGAGAGAAGTTGAAATGGGATGGAAACACCATTATCCGCTCACCCCTCCCCTGTTCACAGGGGTGGTTCTGAGACCTGGGTGAAGGCCCAGCTGGTGGACTTTTGCCGAGGGAGTGGCAAGCCCAGAGAGAAGGGGCCAGTCCGTTATCACCCTACTGTTGGAGAGGAACACTCCAGAAGAGGAGAGGCTTACAGGGAGAACAAGACGGGGACAAGAAAGAGAGAGGATGAGAAGACTTCCGCAGGGGCCTGGCCTCCCCGCACGTGCAGAGAACAGTAGCTGTCATGTACGTGAGGACCCCGTCTGCTCTAAGCTCTTTTACACCCATGGCCTCACGTACCCTCACAGCAATCCTAAGCGAAGGCACGATTCTTATCTATCTGTTTTATGGATGAGAAATCAAAGGACTGGAGAGCTCCTGTGACCTCCTGCAGGTCTGTCCAGTAGAGTGGTGGAGCCGGGACCCATCTACGGCAGCACGAGCCCAGAACTCAGCTCTCAAACCCACACGGTACTGGTAAAAGGAGAGAGGCAGAATGGTCACAACCCCAGGGTTTGGGGTCTTTCCGGCTTTGGATACATTTGGGGCAGAATTGCTTCAACTGCCATCAGAAATGTGCTGTTGCGTCTGACTCCCCTGGAGGGACCCTCTGGGGTGGGGCCGAGAGCCAGAGAACTGAGGCATGGTGGTTTCAGGGGGTCCTGGGGATAATTACCTCTTTGTCAATATTTCATTTTTTTATCCTCACCCGAGGACAGTTTTCCATTTTTTTGTTCAGATAGAGTGGGAGGGAGAGAGAGAAAAAAGAGAGAGAGAAACATCGACGTGAAAGGGACACATCGAGTGGCCGCCTCCCACACAACCCAACCAGGGCCGGGGACAAACTACAACTGTGGTACATGCCCTTAGCGGGAACTGAGCTCGGGTCTCTGTGGACCGCAGGCTGATGCTCTAACCGCTGAGCCAAACTGGCCAGGGCTGTCAATATTTTAATTAACTCTTTGTAACTTTATAATTTCCCTAGACTTGCCATTTTAAATTTCTGTTTGCTTTGCTTTTTTTTTTTTTTAAATTTTTTTTTGTAGGAACTAACGATAAAACCCTTCAAGTGCAAAGGGTTATTATTATTTGGAGAAAGCTGATTGGGGTGAGGTGGGGGAGACGGCACCTGCCGCGTAGGGGGGACTGGAGGAGTCTGACAGTGGATGGTGACAGGTGCACTACAGCAGATGTAGTACCTGTAGTGAGTGGATGGTGGCAGGAGACAGGCAGGGACGCCTGCTACCCTGGCCCCTGGAGCGGCAGGAACAGCCTCCCCAGGGCCGAGCGGGGGAGATCAGGTTCGCTGTAGGAGGCTCGGCTCCACTCCGCTCACCACCACTGGCTTATTCTCATCCTCACTCACCTTTTCTCTACTTTATCTTTTATTTTCTCATCAACTTGATCTGCTTATAATTTCATTTCCTTTTGTCTATGTGGTTAACACAAGGTCACCCTTTAAGACTCAGTTCAAGAATCATCTCTTTTTATGGTAATTTTTCCTGTTCAACCTGCCCTTGGTAAAACAGATCAATTCTTATAGCCCCATCTTTTAAAAATTTTTTTATTTTTATCCTCAGCCGAGGACTATTTTTGCATTTGCCTTCAGATAGAGCAGGAGGGAGAGAGGGAGGAAGAGAGAGAGAGAAACATCGATGTGAGAGAGACACATCAACTAGTTGCCACCCGCATGACCCCAATCGGGGCCAGGGACGAACCGCAGCTGAGGTACGTGCCCTTAGCGGGAATCAAACTCGGGACTCTGGTCCACAGGCCAACGCTCCAACCGCTGAGGCAAACCGGCCAGGGCTAGCTCCATCTTTACCTTTCATCCGGTTAGTTTCAGTCCTGCTGGGAATGGACGCATTCTCTCGGCTTTCCCCAGTTCAGATTCCCTGGAGAGAGAACCTGAGTGGTCAGTCATCTCTAGCAATGGGTTACTAGCCACCCTAAAGTTTGGCTGCCTTTGGGACCTGTTATGGACTGAATGTTTGTGTGCCATCAAAATTCTTATGTTGAAGGCCTAACCCCCAATGTGGTTGTATTTGAGGTGGGGTAATTGGGTCTCGGTGAGGGCAGCAGTGTGGGGCCCCCAGGATGGCTTTGGTGTCCTTGCGAGGTCACAGTGAAAAGGTGGCCGTCCACAAGCCGGGAAGAGAGTCCTCACCAGGAACCAAGTTGACTGGCACCTTGATCTTGGACTTCACAGCCTCCAGAGCTTGGAGAAATAAATTCCTGTGTTTAGACTGCCCAGTCTATAGTATTTTGTTATAGCAGTTCGAGTTATAAGACAGGACAGGTGTCTGTCCGTGATCAATCAGCGGCAGCACAGGGAGGTGGGCAGGGCTATGAAGTACAAAAAAACAACCCCAGGGGGTGATGTCTTTGGTAGAGTCAGAGGGCAGGGAAATTACCCCTCAGCCAGGCTGTGAGCGATGGAGGATAGACGGCAGGTGGAAGAAGGTTCTGGATCTTGTAGCAGATGGCTGTTGGTGCCGGCCATCACACCCCTCGGCCCACCTCAGCTTTCACCTGCCGCAGTGGGGCGGCTCTGTGAAGCTCAGGCTCTCCGGCCAGCAGCAGGTCCCCCTAAGCACCTCTGAGTGTCTGCAAGGCCACAGAGCTGCTCCACGCGGGGAAGCAGGGGTGGTGCACGTACTTGTGACCGCCTCGTGCAGTGGAAGGGCTGGAACTAGGGGACACGTGGTCTGGCCTCCTGTCTTTCGAGCGGACAGTTCTGGAAGGGACTCAGTGTGCATCGAAGGGGTCTTTGCGGAACTGAGCCCATTGCCTATTGTAACCACACGTTGGCTTGTTCTCTTTGTATTTCTCTTTCTGCCGCCTCACTCTTGCTTTCTGGGCAGTTTCACAACCCATCTGTGCCCAAGTCTTCATTGTAGACTCTGCTCTCAGGGAACCCAACCCAGATTTATTCTGAAGGCAAAAGGGAGCCCTTGAAGCATTGTTTTCCTTTCTGATAAAAATGCTATACTGAATGCTAGATGTTCTGCTGGGCAGAGAAGATGCAAGTATGATATAGCGTAGTCCTTGAACTTGAGGAGCTTGTAACCTCCTCCCCCTCCTGTAAACTTTTCAGTGTTTTTACTTTCATGATCTCATTTGACCTTCTCAGTAACCTTTCCAGGAAAGTGAGAACATCACTATTTCTACTTTATTGAAACGGCAGAAGGAGAGAAAGGGGAAAGCCGTCTACAAGGTCACATAGCTAGCAAGTGGCCGTTTAAGCAATTAAAATCTGTGGCTGGGTACATAAATTATCGTAGTTTCTCTGAGCAAAACGACACATTTACTATAATTTAATTATTCACTTGCCTTCACTCTATTTTCTTTGCACTCCCTGCTTTTCAACTTTCCAAATATTGTACTGGCTTTTAATCAGCTGCTATATAATTTCTTCTGTGAAAGTAGGTCAATGTACAATGTGTTAACATAACTTTCCTTTTACAGTTTAAACAACATTTCAGTACAATTGAAACTTAGAAGAAGAAAGAAAACCCTTTGATTGCCACTGCATAATTTTAAGCTGAATGGTAAGACTGGATTTGCATTTTAAAATCTTGAGCCCAAGGCCAAGGGCAGTGTGGAGGAGAGTCGGGGCAGGCAAGATTCTACTCTCCCTCCCCAGGCGCTTTCGTCTCACTCTGTGGCTTTAAATAACATCTTGATCCGATGATTCACACATCTGTATCTCCAGCCCCAGCTTCTCTTCTGAGCTCCGGATGGGCACATCCAGTCCCCTAACTGACATCTCTATGTTGATGTCTCACAGGAACTCAAACTTAACTTGTCCAGAATCAATAAACTCCTGATTTCCACTCTTCCCCCCAAACTGTCCCTCCGCCCGTGTTTCCCATCTTGGTTAGTGGCATCACCATCGCTCCAGTTGTTCATCCTGGAAAACCTGGAAATCATTCTGGATCCCTCCCCTCTCACCCTCAGAATCCAGTCCATTAGCAACTCTGGCAACTTGAACATTTTCCAAATAGGTCTCAGATTGGTTTACTTCTCCTCATCCTGGCCACCGTCGTCTCTTGCCTGGACTCTGGTCGTGGTCTCTGACCAGTTCCCTCTCCTCCCACTTTCCTCCCTGTGGACAAGGGGGGTTCACAGTCACGTTCCCTGGGGGTGCACCTGCGTTAGAGGAAGGTCCTGGCGTCTCAGTGGGCTGACTGGCGAGGTCAGGAATGACGCCCACGGCTCAGCTCCTCTCAGAACGGTGTGCCTGCTTCGGGAAGGCTGTGTTCCTTTTCTAATGCCGTGTAACAAGTTACCCCAAACTTAGCAGCTAAAATGACATACGTGTATGATCTCAGAGATTCTGTGGATCAAGATTCGGGACGTGGTCCTCGGTGTAGGTTCTCGCAAACCTGCAGTCAAGGTGTCCTCCAGGGCATTTTCGGCAGGAGGCTTAATTAGGGAAGCATTGGCTCCCAGTTCGTTTGGGTGGCTGGCAGAATTCATTTGCCTGAAGCTGTCTGACTGGGAGGTTGGCTTTTTGCTGACTGTCAGCCGGAGGCCCCCACCCCACCCCCGCCCCCGCCCCGAAGAGGCTACCTGTATTTCTGCCATGTGGGCTTCCTCTCTACACGGCTGCTCACTGCATCAAGCCCACAAGGAGACTGTCTTAGTCCAGCCTGCTGGGATGGAGTCTTGTGCGAGGGCACAGAACCGTGCAGTGGCCTGCTTTCTTTCACCTTTGCTGGTAAGGCAACTCAGTCAAGAGGGACATCCCTTCGCCTTTGCCACATTGGTCAGAAGTAAGTGATAGGTTCCGCCTGCACTCAAAGGGAAGGACTTACATAAAATCAGGGACAGGAGGCAGGAAATCACTGGGGTCCCTTTAGGGTTTAGAGAGGCGTGTGCTGTGCTCTGCTTCTCCACCCAGAGGGTTATAGGAACGGCCCTGCAAAGGGGGTGCACTGTCACAGACAGAGGTGCCTGTTTGTGGGGGGAAGGGGTTGGAAACTGAATAATTCTGGAATAAAATATTAGAAAGCTCACTGTTGCCACACCTAAGCCACGTGTTCCTTTTTTTTTTTTTTATCCTCACCCGAGGACATTTTCACAATTCTTGGACAGATAGAGTGGGAGGGAGAGAGAGGGAGAGAGAGAGAGAGAGAAACATCGACGTGAAAGGGACACACCGAGTGGCTGCCACCCGCACGACCAACCAGGGCCGGGGACAAACTGCAACCGAAGTATGTGCCCTTAGCAGGAACCGAACCCGGGTCTCTCCGGACCGCAGGTCGACACTCTAACCGCTGAGCCAAACCGGCCAGGTAAGCCACGTGTTCCAATCCAACTTTATCAGTAATACAGGAGCTATTTTGATATCCTACTGTGTGGATGACTGCAGTGTCTCTCATGTAATTCAGAACCCAGTTGGAGAATAGATGAATGTTATATCTCTACCTCCTCAAATCCCAACATCCCCACCATTCTATTATCCACGGAGAAGAGTGATCTCTAAAAACATACATTATCAATATTAGAAAGATAACAAGGGAATAGTATGAACAACTTCATGTCAATAAATTCAACAACTTGGATGAAATGAAAAATTTCTTGCAGACACAAACTATTAAAGCTCTTTCAAGGAGAAATAGATAGTCTTAAATCTATTAAATAAATTAAATTTGTAGTTAAAACCTTTTTATAAAGAACTCGAGGCCCAAACATCTAAGGAAGAAATAATCCTAATTTTAAACAAATTCTTCCATAAAATTGAAGAGGAAGAAATACTTCCCAACTCACTCTTTGAGACGGGCTGGTCCCTGGCGCCAAAACCAAAGACAAAGACATTACAAGAAAAAAACAAAAACAACTACAGGCCAATGTTTCTCATGAACATATATGCAAAATTTTAAGAAATTTTGGCAAATCAAATCCAACAATATATAAAAATGATAGTTAATCATGACCAAATGTGTTTTAGCCAAGGAATGTTTACCATTAAAAACAAAAATTGGCCCTGGCCAGTTTGGCTCAGCGGTAGAGCGTTGGCCTGCGGTCCAGAGAGACCCGGGTTTGGTTCCCTCTAAGGGCATGTACCTCGGTTGCAGTTTGTCCCCAGCCCCGGTTGGGTCGTGCAGTGGCAGCCACTCGATGTGTCCCTTTCACGTCGATGTTTCCCTCTCTCTCTCTTCCTCTCTCTTCCTCCCACTCTATCAGAACAAAAAATGGAAAAATGTCTTTGTGTGAGGATAAAAAACAAAACAAACAAACAAGAAAAAAAACAAAAATTGGTCAATATGATTCACTGCATTAACAAACTGAAAAGGAAAACTATGGTCATCTCAATAGATGCAGGGAAACTCTCAAAAAAAACCAAAAAAACCAGGAATAGAGAATATAATTTTCTCAACTTAGTAATCGGCTTCTATGAAAAACCCAGAGCTAGCACCATATCAAATGATGAAAAACCAAATGCTTCCCATCAAGATCTCGATATAGTGGACTAAACAACACTACTAACTGATCTAATTACATTTATAGAATATTACAGCCCCGTCCTCTATCACCTCTTCTCTTCAGCATTGTACTGGAAGTTCTGGCCTGTGCAATCTGATAAGAAAATAAATTAAGGGTGTGAAGATTGGAAAGGAAGCAGTACAGATGTCTTCATTCTTAGATGACATGGTTCCTGTGGAGAAAACCTGCTGGAAGGATGGAAGAGCTGCTGGAGCTAGTAAGTGAGTTTAGCAAAGTTGTAGGGGGCACATGCACGGAAATTGTACAGGGGTGGGCAAGAGTAGGTTCACAGTTGTTCATATAGAAAATAATACAATAATGAGCAAATAGTAATACAAGAAGAAACCCTATTTTGCCTACTCACAACTGGAAACCTACTTTTGCTCACCCCTGTGTTTATATATACTGGCTATGAACAATTGGAAAATGAAATTGATAAAAACAGTGTGACCAGTGATGCTATTCACCGGTCACAAGTTTGGGCATGTGAACTTAGTTTGTAAAAATGGAATGAATTTCATGATTTCTGAAGAGACTGCAAGGGCAAAGATGCTCTCATTTTTCTGCTGTATCTGATGGATTTGGTGGAGGCATGGCTGAGACACCCCTCTTGTGATGAGGAATGGAAAGTCAGCATAAGAAAGCATCCAACACACAGAGGAGGGAGAGGGAGAGAGAACTGAGTTCTGGTGAGATCATTGGAGCTTATGGATCAAGTTGTGCATGAGCCCAAAACTACCTAAGGTTGTTCCGATTAATTTTCTTTACATTTAAAACATTTCACATTTTCTTTCCCTTGTAACCAAGAGCATTCACTGATGTCAACAAGTTTGGGGACCACCTTGGTGGAAGCATTAGGTGGCAAGTGTTATATATGGGTCAGAAACTCTGACAATCTGAGCTGGAGGGGCTGACGCCAGTGAAGTGGTTGTTCACCTAGGAGGAAATACAGACGGACAGGAACAAGGGGCCACGGAGTGAGTTGAGCACCAGCATTTTTGAGCGGAGTGAAGAAACTGGAGACTAGGAAGGGTCAACCAAGTGCAGTAGGAAGCACATTGGGGGTAGGGGATTAGGAAACTTAAGTGAGGAGAAAGTGTCAGATGCTATAGACATTTCCTGGGGGAATGAAAATGTAAGAATCCATGTCCTTAGCACCTAGAAAGTTGCAAGTACCTTTGGCAAAGACGTCTTCCGTGGAATGTGGGGGCGGAGAGTGACGAGGAAAGAAGGTGGGGGGGGGGGGCAGTAAGTGTGGACTCACTTCGCAGAACTTTTGGTGGTGACATGGAAGAGAGGGCCAGTCACGGAGCCAGGCCGGTGTTGTTTCTAGCCACACACTTTTGAGTCCGACTTTCTGCTACTCCCAGAGATACTGTGACTTACCCAATTATACCTAATAATAACGTTTTTTCCTGAGTTAACTACTACAGTGGGTTCTGTTGCCTAAAATTGAGAATCCCTGATGAAATGGCGAGCTTGAAGAAAGTGATGGTCTGAAATAATTGTGGAGAAAGGAAGAGGGTTTTTAAAGACTATTTTAACAGTGGAAGATAAATGAACACGGCTTATTGTCTAAAGGAAAGAACCGACAGAGAAGGCAGAAGATACGGGGTTGAGAAGGACTGATGGAGCAACGTTCTTGAGGAGGAAGAGGTAGGAGCAGCGGAAGTGGCAGGGCTGGCCATGGAGAGAGGTCACGTTGAATGACATGGGACAAAGTACAGTGGAAAAGAAGGGTCGTACTTGCATGGGTGCTGTGCAGGGGCTGGAGGAAGTCCTTCTGATGCCGTCTGCTATTCTCCGATGAGGACAAGTTGAGGTTGTTTAGCTAAATCTGAGAGAAAAGGGACAACGTCGAAGGTGGAGCGCACACTTACAATGTTACAGTTTCCCGGTTCCTTTTTTAAAATTTCTTTTTTATTTTGAAACAATCTCACACTTACAGGAAAATTGCAAATCCAGTTCAGAGAACTTTTTTTCTGAATTATTAGGGTAAGCTGCCAGCATGGTACCCCATCATCCTCAAATACTTTATTGGGTATTTTCTACAAAAAGGATGTTTTCCCACATAACACGATGTAACTATCAAGACAGAGAAACTTAGGTAGAGGCATTGCCGCCATCTCCTGCTCCGAGCCGATTCGAGTCTCGCTGGCTGTCCAGTAGTGTTCATCAGAGCAAAAGGGTTCCATTGAGGACCACAACTCGAGTGTGTGTCGTGTCTCGTCAGTGCCTTTTCATCTGGAATGGCTTCATCAATCTTCCTTTGATTTTTGTGACCTTGACACTTGCTAAGATCGTGGGCCAGTTTTTGGGAGCATGTTCTTCAACTTGGGTTTTTCTGCTCTTTCTTCATGATTATTTTTAGTTTAACCTTTGGTGCAAATATCATAGGAGTGACACTATGTTTTTTTCATTGCATCTTATTAGGTGGGACACGATTTCCGTTTGTCCTGCTACTGATGAAGTTAACTTTGATCACTTAATCAGTGATGTATACCAGCTCATTCCACTATAAAATTACTCCTTTCCCCTTTTGTAATTTGGTGGAGTTTCTTGCACCCAATCTTCTGTGTCATTAGTGAAAGCCACTGAGTGGCTGGGACAGTGGTGTCATCATAGCGACACCCTGCAGGGTATTTGGGGCATTGTCCCAATCTGTGTGGTTCTCCTAGGGATTCTTTGATGATCTAATATTCTTTAATAATTTTCTTTTCTGTTGAAACCAGTTAGCATGGATTCTGTCATTTAAAACTAAGACCACTGATGTTTGCCTCTTTTACATCCCTTATGATGCAATTATAACATTTGTTGATAGTGATTCTGCACAAATTTCACTTTCACAAGGACCTCTACTTCTCTGGGTGATGAAGTAAACAAATATTCCCTAAGTCAAAGGAGTGTTTATCAACAAACAGGCTGTTTAGTCGAACAAACAAGAGTTTATTTAGCTGACACTTTAATGTGCCTATCATTCCAGGACTTACAGGCAGGATATATTGTTATTGGGGAAATTGAGGCAGCCCTTCCCCCACTGAGTGCTGGAGTGGAGTCCTTATGGTATCTCGAGAAAAAGAATTTTCAGAGACTCCCAGAGGATGCATGATTTTTATTTGCATGGAATTACATCCCTGGGTTTCCAGTCCTGGAAGAGTGTAGCTGGGGATTCAATAGAGCTAGAAACAAAGCCAGTGTCCAGAGTTTCCACTCTATGTTGCAGCCGGGTCCAGTTCAACTTCAGGCTAGCAGTACTCCATTAGTCCACTGTGTGTCGGGTCCACGTGGCCAAGGGCCATGTGGGCAAATGCAGGGGAGCTGAGAGAGCACCCCTGCAACAAGAGTCCCAAGAGAGTCCAGAGCACAAGGAGCGTGAACTCCTTTGTTTAGGGAATTAAGTATCTCAAATCCCGTGCTCTTGCAGTGGCCATGTCCATTCTGGCCAATGACCTGTTCCCAGGTGTGACTGACAGGCAAGTACCTTCCCTATGCCACCCCAACTTTACTGGGGCTATCTTTCCTTTGTTGGTCCCCTGGGGAGCGTAGAGTTGTATCTTCCTGGTGAAGCTGCCCAAATGACATGCATATATTTGGCCTTCCCTTTGCTCCTTTTGTGTTATTAATAACTAGGTTAATTACAGCGGGATCAGTATGACAGCACAGACACTGCGATGTTCTTAAAGCATACACCACACTTCAGTGTTTTCAAACCAGGAAGGCGTGCCTATTGGTATGAGCGAAGAGATTTATTTTTTTCTCCCAAATGACAGCCTCTCCCAGGAAATTCGTATCTGGTAGATTTGAGCTGAGACCTAGGAATATATGTTTTTTGAAAGCCCTCCAATTGATTTTGATTTGCCACCATGACAAGAACAACTAAATTTATAGGTCTTGCCTCCCGGTGCTGTCCGTTTGACGAGATGGATAACACCGACACTCAGGTGCTCGGCAGAGAGGGAGGGAGGCCGTGTGGAGGCCGGCGGCTGGGCTCACAGGCCGTGCAGTTGGTCTGATGTCAGGTGAAAGGGCTCGTGTCAGCTTAGCAGTGCACAACCCTCTAAGAATTTGGAATTAAGGTTGCCGCAGAGATAAACTAAAAGAACAAGTTTCAATGGATGTGACTGTAGCCTGTGGGAATAAACGAAGAGATGGCCTATGACATGGGATTGAAGAGTTTGGAAACAGCTCAGACTCCACTCCAGAGGAATCAGGGCAGTAAGGCTGAAATGCGATTGTAGTTAGTAAGTTAATCGAGTGATTAGGTTCTAATCATTGCACCTGTGGACGAAAACGGGGCCACATACTAAACCTGACAAGCTCAGGGGAGGCCAGCATTGTGGGCCCTGCGAACTCAGAGACCGAGCAACCACACAGGATGGCCTGAACGTAAGCATTTCCAACTAAAAGTGAGTCATGGCCCTGGCCGGTTCGGCTCAGCGGTTAGAGTGTCGGCCCGTGGACCAGAGTCTCAGGTTCAGTTCTGGTCAAGGGCATGTACCTTCATTGAGGTTCATCCCTGGTCTGGTCAGGGTCATGCGGGAGGCAACCAGTCAATTTGTCTCTCTCACATCCATGTTTCTCTCTCTCTCTCTCTCTCCCTCCCACTCTGTCTGAAGATAAATGGAAAAATATCCTTGGGTGAGGATTTTTAAAAAAAAAGTGAGTTACGGCAGGTAATTATTGCACTGCACCGAGGGCTGTGGCTTCCTTGACAAAGGTCAATCTTTATCTTCAGTGAACCTGTCATTTGTCTTTCTGCATCTAAGATCACATTCCTTCGAAATGTCAGAGTCATCTTTTCCAGACCCCTCTAGGCACCAGAGCAGGTGACCACAAACCCTCCACTGTTATCTTGTTCCCCTCATACCATCTCTCAGTGCTGAAATGTTAATTAACGATCCTGTATCCACCTTTATTTTGCCCTTTTAAAAATTTTATTTTATTTTAAAACTAAATTGATTGAGGTGACATTGGTCAATATGATCATATAGGTTTCAGGTGTAGATCTCTATGATACATGATGTGTATATTGCATTGTGTGCCCACCACCCAAAGTCAGATCATCTTCCCTCACCATATGCTTGGCCCCCTTTACCCTTTACTGCCCCTACCCTCTACCCCCTCCCCCTTCCCTCTGGTAACCACCATGCTGTTGGCTGTGTCTATGAGTTTCAGTTTTTTTTTGTTTTGTTTTTTAATTTTTTTATT